AGCCGGAGCGCAAGTCGAGCTTGGTGAACAAACGAGCGTGCCGGAGCTCGTCGAGGAGTTCGTCCACCACCGGGATCGGAAACGCATCCTTGACAGTAATGGCGTTCAGGGCGCGGTAGTCGATGCAGAAGCGCCAGGACCCGTCGACCTTGCGGACCAGTAGTACCGGCGATGAGAATGCGGAACAACTCGCTCGGATGATGCCCTGGGCGAGCATGGCGGCGCACTGACGCTCCAGCTCGTCCTTGTGCGCGGCCGGGTAGCGATACGGACGGACGGCCGCCGAGGCGGAACCGGGCAGCAGGGTGATGCTGTGGTCGCGGCTGCGGGGTGGTGGCACGCCGGAGGGTTCGGCGAAGATGCCGTCGAACTCGGTGATGATGGCGTCAAGGAAGTCGCGGCCGCTGGATGATTTCAGGGCTGGTCCGTCCGGTCCTGCAATCCCGCGCCAGCACACCCGATGGCCCCTCCGCCAGAATGTCATGGAGAGGGCGCGGAAATCCCACAGGATCGGTCCGAGCGTCGCCAGCCACTGCGTGCCCAGGAGGATGTCGTAGCCCGCGAGTGGCAAGGCGAGGAAATCCTCCGAGAACTCCTCTTGGTCGATGCGGAAGGGCACGACACGGTACGCGCCCTGGCACGGAACGCGCTCGCCGTTGGCCACCGTGACGCGCATCTTCTCGGTGGTGGGGGATGGCAGCGTAGCACGAGCGGCCGCCTCCTCGGCGATGAAGTTGTGGGTGGAGCCTGAGTCGATCAGGGCGAGGAGGGAGACACCCCCGAGGGTGATATGCATCTGCATGGTCTTGCTCGTGCGCACGCCGGAGATTGCGTGGAGCGAGATCTGAGGGTCGGCCGGCGATGCATCAGCAATGGCGGAGGCCGTGTCGTCGTCGTCGTCGTCCGGCGCTAGGTCGAGGAGAAAGATGTGCTGGCACACGCGGTTGTGGCCCCTGCCAAACTTCTCATTACAATTGAAGCAGAGGCCCAGGCAACGACGTTCCTCCATCTCCGTCTGTGACAGGCGTTTGATTTGGCGCCCTTTCGAGAGACTGGGGGCATGCTGGGGTGCGGCTGGTGGAGCCGGTGCGGGGGACGCGAGGCGTGGTCCGGGCGTCGGCAGGATGCCCTTCTGCTGAAAACGCACCGGTGGCGCGGAGGTGAGCGCGCACTGGTCGCGCAGCTCCAATTTGCGGGCGAGGCTCATGGCGACGGCGAGGGACTGCGGGTTGTGGATTTCCACGTCGAGGCTGAGGGGTGGCTGGAGTCCCGCGGTGAAGATCTGAACCTTCTGTATCTCGGATAAGGTGCCTGCCCGGGGAAGGAGCGCCTCAAACCGCTCCTGGAAGTCGACGACGGACGTCGTGCGCTTGCACGCCATTAGTTCGCCCAGCGGGTTAGCGCGCAGAGGTGGCCCGAAGCGGAGATTGAGCAGCTCGGTGAAGCGGCGCCACGGAGGTGTGCCCTCGTCGCGCTGGACCTGCATATACCACAGTTGGGCAGTACCCTCGAGATTGTATGACGCCATCCACACCTTCTCCTCCTCGGCGATCCGTTGTTGATGGAAGAAGGACTCGCATCTGTTGATGAATGCGAGAGGATCAGACTTGCCGTCGAACTTGGGGAAGTCCATCTTCTGAAACCGGGGCGGCCGATCATTGTGGTGCTGCCCATCATGGCCTCCATCAGCGCTCGACGAGGAGGAGGACTTGTGCTTCCGGAGTGCCTTGACGGACGACTGCAGGGACGCCACCGTGGCGGTCAAGGCCTCGATCATCTTGGCCAGATCAGCGGTGGTTGGTTCTGCCATGCCGGAAGTGACCGAGGCGGCGGCGGATGGTGGCGATGTAGGGGAGCTTGGCGCGGACGCAGGGGTGGAGGCGGGCTGCGGATGGAGCGTGGACGAGGAAGAGGATCGCCTGGAACCTGATACCAAGTTGTCAAGGGCCTCGGTGCCCAAGACAGCAGGACCTCGACTACGTAGTTCGTAGTCTCGGTTGATAGGAGCGCTAGGGTTTTTGCCTAACTGCTCAATGGCGCAGGAGAAGGGGGATTAGGAATAGAGGAAGAGGTAGGAGATAATTATTTCTTGCTTGCGTCCAAGGGTGCAGGTTACTGGATATATAAAGGCCTTATGGGCTTCTAACAAACTAGGAAACTAACTATGCTTCTAACAAACTAGGAAACTAACTATTCCTGGACTCTAGGAACCAACGCAGGATCAGGACTCCTTGTCCCGATCATGCCTCGCAAGCCGTGGCCGGCCGCTGCTGCTCCTGGGCGCGCGACCCGCGCCTCTACGCAGCGCCCCACATGACATATTGACATTAGGATTTTCATTTTTAACAGAATTTTGGAGTCTGACGATGTACACGGTGATTTTTCCGGTTCAGTTTCAACACGTACAATGGAGCAGATTATTTTGCAGAGCATCAGCTAAAAGAAAAACCATTCAGACTACAACAAACATGAGCAGTACACATTCAGGAAGTATTGTGATTAAGGCACATCAGGAAATTGAATCGATCTAAGCTATCAGCCAAAGATCTTGCCACTGCCAACATGTAAAACATGTTATGCTTCTGCTTGGCCACTGTTAACCATTACTGATACTTAAGCACATGCAGTTATTGGTACACCAAGAAAGGAATCTAGCATTTGCTATTATCTGTTAATAGTAAACACGTGCCTTGACAATAGAGGAGTAGCTTCATGAACAGAAACTTGGACTGAAACCTCTGAATTAGCCCGATATGAAACTTGTGTTATTGCCTTAGAGCAGAAATGGAGATAATACAAGGAGTACTCAAAAATAAGAGTATGTGGTTCCGAAGCTGCAAGCATGCTTTGCCAAATTTCCTCTTCTCTAACTAACAAATAAATAATCTGTTGCCAGTTGTCTTCACAATGTTTGCAGGGCCCTTTGCTTCATGCTGTTTTCTTGCCTCTTTACTGGATCATGAAGCATATACTGCTTCGTTTTGCTTTTCCTAAAGATGATTTTCAACCTTTCAGGTTTTCATGGTAGTTAGATATTGACATTAAGATTTTCAATTTCGAAAGAATTTGGGGGTGTGACAGTTTGCATGGTGATTTTCTTGCCGCTTACAGTTTTGGCGCGTACAGCCGCAAGGCACATCGGCAGCATTCCCCACGCTTCAGTATATATTAAGTTAAGAGTGCACAGCGCAAAGCGTCTAAACCAACAGACAAGCCTATACATTATGGCTACTGCATTCTTCGCACAGCAAATGCCCTGTCCTGGCACCTACCAAGATCCTATTTTCATATGTGAAGCACAAGCTTATATGATACGTTCCTTTAGTTTATCACCTGAAATAACAAAGACGGACCTGGCATGAATTTCTTTTCTTCGTTAAAGCTTACAATTCTATTTCATTTTTGACATTTTAGTAGAATTTCTTCTGTGGTCAACAGATCCAAAGCTCTACTGAATCATTAGCTACAGCAAATATATAAAGAATCTGTTCAAGGGCTGTGCTTTTTGCCAAAATACTGAACGAAAAAGGTCCCACTGTATTCTCTTCTTGATCCGAACTCACAAGAAGAGACAATCACGGTTGCGCACACAGTTGGCAAGTTTTAGTTAATTTAGTTTGACGTTCACTGCAACCGGAGGTTATAAATTTCCAAGTCGCAACACAACTGCGGGCACGAGTTTCCGAAAGATTTAACTCTGCTGGGTTGCTCCAACTCGTTCAATTACAAAAATATCGTAATCATACCGGGTCCCCCAAGTTCAAATAGGCCCTTAGAGCCCCCTTGGATAGCCAGGTGTGTTTCAGGAGTTCAAAGTAATAATTCCTTCGTCTAAAATAAAACTACTCCAGCAAGACCGTCTGGATAGGATTTGCCCCAACCTAGGCTGGACTGATTTATCTTTTGCTGTAGAACCATATTTTACTTTTAGGTTTGTTGGACATGTTGGCTGCGTGCATCGCGCTATGTAGAGGCCGAACATTCTTTCAATGCGGTTGTATCACCTCGATATATCAATTTAATAAAATATTCTTTGTCGAAAAAGACCCGAGTTGTCCCGATTGAAGCCACGAACATCTCATAGTCAGGAACCAACTGTATGAGCGACACTCACGGTTACTGAAGTCCCGACCTGCCCTTGGTAGCCGCAAGTAGCTCTGTTTTGGACCAACACCGTTAGCATTGGCCCACCTGCTTATGTGAAATTAAAATTGACCCCAGGTTGTGGAATTGAATTTTACCTAAAATCTGGAGAGGCAACGACGGCATCACAGGAGTGGGAAGCAGAGTTTGAGCCCTGGCCCATGACGTGGGATAGGAATGAGATACAGGGAGAATGATAGGGGGGTTTGCCTAGGAATGAGGAAAGAAGGGAGGGTGTTTATTCTGAAAAGTGGGCGCCGCCTAGCCAGCGACAGCCTCCCAGCGTGTATGGTGCCATTCTCTCGCAGGAGCCTCCCAGCACGTACGATCATACACGCTAGGACACCAATGAAAGGCACGTACACGCCTTATTTGCGTCCAATAAATATATATTTTTAAGAACCAATATATTAATTTAGTACATAGTCATACAATTATTTGTTACAAAATACGTCATAGCACTAGAAGCCCATCCCATTTGGACAACATGCGCACATTCGCGTCCGCATAATATGGTATGTTAGAAAGGCGATCCTCCATGAACATTTGGCAATTGAAGTTCACACTCAAATTCATCTGGGATGTAAGAAAGAAGTTGCATGCGTGCGTATACATGAATAGTAAGGTTGTAAAAAAAATGAACTCGTCGTTTGGGAGTATGGCCTGAGTATCGATGGAAGAAGCGACCACTACTTATACAGAGGAAAAATTAGTTAAGCACTTGCTTAATTTGTTTAAATAATGATGATACAATAATGGTACTAATAATATTATAAAGGTACCACGTACATACGTACAACAATATGCATAATACGTATAGATGTATGAACAGCATGCGTACTAATTATGATTTGTATTCAAGGGTAGACTTCAATAATTGAGCGAATTCCAGTCATCGGTGTAATCCTGTAGTCACTGAACCCAGCTTCATAGAAAATCTTGCTCCACTGATGCTCCTCTCGCTGGGTCCCGTCGATGTACATCATGAAGACATCAAACAAAACCTCCGTCTCCTTGGACACGGTTTCCTGTGACCCTGCAGTTCCGACCACCATATCCATGACTATCACCTTCCCTCCGGCGTCCCTTGTCGGAATGGCTTTCTTGCATTGGCGCAGTATCTTGACGCAATCTTCGTCTGCCCAATCGTGCAAAATCCACTGAAAACATTTCTTTTGTTAAATAAAGCCACAGTGCTAGCTGCTATGGTGAAATGGTCTCGGCTAACTGTATTTGTAGTTTGTACCTTCCTCGCAGAAAAAAAAAACTATGTTTGTACCTTGAGTAGAACGGTGTCCGCTGGTGGGATGTACTCAAACATGTCGCCGGCGATGAAGGTCAAATTGTCATCCGCAGGAGCCCCGGCGACGACGACAGGGAGGTCCAGCACGGTGCACTTTATGTGCGGGAATGCCTTGGCGATGGCCGCGGCAACGGTGCCATGGGCGCCACCGACGTCCACCAGTGAGCTGCGCACGGATCCGAAGACGCCGCTGTACTCTCTTAGAATGATCTCCATACTGAAGCGGCTGTCCGCGTCCAGACCGGCGTTGAACACGCGGTCATCGCCGGCGTCCTTCGCTATCATCTCCCACCGTGTACAGCCATGCGCCACCTCAAAGAGCGACGAGGTGGCGCTCTTTCCGTCGGTGAACCACTCGCGTATGCTGAAGAGAGCAGTGACGGGCACCGGGTTGACCAACACGCTCACGATAGGGGACAGGTCGCAGCGGCGTGGCCTCTCGCCGCCAACTCCGACGAGGAGGCCGGAAACCCTGGTGAGCTTGTACACGGTGGCGCCGCTAGCCTGGACATCGACGGAGAAGACACCAGAGGTGGTGAGCACGCGCATGAGCCGCTGGAGGTGGGAGACCTTCGTCCGGTGGATCCCTGTGTCGGCGGCAAGATCAGACAAGGTGGTGGCACCACCCCTGAGGTGTATGGCGTCGGCAATTCGCAGCTCGGTGGCCGCGCCGAGCGCCATGGACTTGATGTAGACGAAGCAGTGGTGGTAGAGCTCGAGCTGAGCTTGGAGCAACTCCTCGCTGCTCATGGTAATCTCGTCTTCTTGGACGTGCGACGCCATGGTCTGTTGAATGCTCGCCTTGTTTGGGTTGCCTTCTCATATAGAGGTGAAAGGTTGCGCTCTTGGACTTGACAACAAATGCATCAATGCGATTGCTCTCTCGCATCTAACCGTGAGCCTGACATAAAGGATGTGATGTGACTTTCACGCAGGCATTAGAGCAACTCCGGCATATTCTTGTAAAAATCACAAACCTTTGAATAAACTGCTAATCTTCTATGTCTAAATAGCTAGCCCCCACAAACATATTTCTATAGATATACACACATGCCACTTCATCATGCAAACATGCATGAAAAGATTCACCTCAAAATACAAACATGCATACGAGAAGGCCCACCTCACTAATTAGATATATTACGATAAATCATATGTAGTTTTAGTTTTACTTCCTATAATAATATTCGTTCAAATAATAAAATATTGTGAAAGTATATTGCAACCAACTTTCGGCGCAACACCCGCGGTATCATCTAGTATTAAGCATAGTTTTAAATAGCCAGCTATAGCTTCGCTATAGCCTGCTATGGCCTTTTCAGCACGGTGCCGCTAAATGGTCGCCTTCATAAATAGCCTGCTATAGCCCGCTTTAGCTCCGCTATAGCTGATTTGGAGGCTCGCCGCTATTTTTTCATGGCTCTTTTGTAAAAACCATCTAGCCTTTTTATTTAGAGGAAGGAGGGGAAGGGTGTTATGGCAGTTGTGCACTCTTAAACTTGCCTAATGAAGCGTGTTGCTCCTCATGACCCACAACCGTCTTGGCCATTAATCAGTTGTGAGTGTTGCCCATGTAGTCCTTCATGTAAATATACTTGACAACATCACCCTCTTTGTTGAAAAGTTTCAACATGTTTTGGGAATCAAGGGATACACACGCAACACCCCCAACATCATCTAGGTTGGACTCCTCTTGAGCAACCATGGCTTTTCCATCTCTCTTCTTGAACTTGGAATTCATAGGGTTTGGCAACAACTTCTTGACAAAGTTCTTCTTAGGAAACCTTGGCTTGTGTTCTCTTTTCTAGCAGGGACACGATTTGAAGAAATGTCTCATTTCTTCACAATCCTTGCAAGATCTCACTTCTTTTGGAATCTCACCTTGTAAGCACCTCGGCTAAATTCTTCGCAAAGAGTGACATTTCATCATATGAGGCTCATTCATCTGAGTCAACATCTCACCACATTCTTCATCATCCTCTTCTTCTTCATCGTCACTAGGCTCCTCAACATACACACGTTTGGCCTTTAACACAAGGTTTGACTTTCATGACCCACCTTGCATGGCAAGATATCTTCTCCCATTGCTCTTGTGTTCTTCATACTACAAGAAGATAGGAAGCACATCAACGGGCATTAGTAGAAAACAGGGCTTTGGTTCGGGCCTGGCCAGCCCATTAGTCCCGGTTCTTCACGAACCGGGACCAATGGGGGGTATTAGACCCGGTTCATGAGCCCAGGGGGCCGGCCAGGGCCTCGTGGGCATTGGTTCCGGTTCGTCTGGATCCATTGGTCCCGGTTCTAGGCACGAACCGGGACCAATGGTCCACGCGCCTGGCCGATAGCCATTGGTACCGGTTCGTGCCATGAACCGGTATAGAAGGGGGGATTTAGTCCTGGATCATGGCACGAACCAGGACAAATAAGTTGCCTATATATACCCATCGCCGCGACAGAGCACTCTGTTTTTTCTGGCCGGCGAGGGGAGGGAATTTGGGTGCTCTAGCTCACCTCCTATGCACATGAGGTGTTCGATGAAACGCCCGAGTCACAGTAGTTAAGCTTTCTCCTCTCGAAGCTCGACCTCGGAGCTTCATTTTTCCCGAGATTTGTCTAGATTTAGCGGCCCGTCATGCCCCGTCCCCGTTTTCACCGCCGTTGATCGCCCGCGCCGATCTCGTCGCCAGCACCACCGTGGTAAGCCTCTTGTTCTTATCTTCTTTTTGATTTTCTTACTTTAGATAGAGACTTGTCTGATTTTCTTACTTTAGATAGATACTTGTCTGATTTTCTTACTTTTGACACACATAATTATATACAATGCACGCAGATGAACCGGCAATGGACGTATGGTGACAGACACACCTCCGAGTACATTAAGGGCGTGCATAATTTTCTCGAAGTGGCTGAGGCAAACAAGCATAATGGTTTTATGTGTTGTCCATGCCCTAAATGTGGGAATACGAAGTCTTACTCTGACCGGAAAATCCTTCACACCCACCTGCTTTACAAGGGTTTCATGCCACACTATAATGTTTGGACGAGGCACGGAGAAATAGGGGTTATGATGGAAGACGGCGAAGAAGGAGAGTACGATGACAACTATGTGCCCCCTGAATACGGTGATGCTGCAACGGGGGGAGCTGCAGAAGATCAAGAGGAACCAGACGATGTGCCCGATGATGCTGCAACGGGGGAAGCTACTGAAGATCAAGAGGAACCAGACGATGTGCCTGATGATGATGATCTCCGTCGGGTCATTGTCGATGCAAAGACGCAATGCAAAAGTCAAAAGGAGAAGCTGAAGTTCGATCGCATGTTAGACGATCACAAAAAAGGGTTGTACCCCAATTGCGAAGATGGCAACAAAAAATTGGGTATCGTACTGGAATTGCCGCAGTGGAAGGCAGAGAATGTTGTGCCTGACAAAGGATTTGAGAAGCTACTGAAAATATTGAAGAAGAAGCTTCGAAAGGATAACGAATTACCCGACAGTACGTACGCAACAAAGAAGGTCATATGCCCTCTAGGATTGGAGGTGCAGAAGATACATGCATGCCCTAATGACTGCATCCTCTACCGTGGTGCGTACAAGGATTTGAACGCATGCTCGGTATGCGGTGCATTGCGGTATAAGATCAGACGAGATGACCCTGGTGATGTTGACGGTGAACCCTACATGAAGAGGGTTCCTGCGAAGGTGATGTGGTATGCTCCTATAATACCAAGGTTGAAACGACTGTTCAGAAACGAAGAGCATACCAAGTTGATGCGATGGCATAGTGAGGACCGTAAGAAAGATGGGAAGTTGAGAGCACCCGCTGACGGGTCGCGGTGGAGAAAAATCAAGAGAGAGTACTGGGCTGAGTTTGCACGTGACCCAAGAAACTTATGGTTTGGTTTAAGCGCGGATGGCATCAATCCTTTCGGGGAGCAGAGCAGCAATCACAACACCTGGCCTGTGACTTTATGTATGTATAACCTTCCTCCTTGGATGTGCATGAAGCGGAAGTTCACTATGATGCCAGTTCTCATCCAAGGCCCTAAGCAACCCGGCAACGACATTGATGTGTACCTAAGGCCATTAGTTGAAGAACTTTTACAGCTGTGGAATGGAAACGGTGTATGTGTGTGGGATAAGCACAAACAGGAGGAATTTGACTTGCATGCGCTGCTGTTTGTAATCATCAATGATTGGCCCGCTCTTAGTAACCTTTTAGGACAGACAAACAAGGGATACCACGCATGCACGCACTGTTTTGCTGACACTGAAAGTATATACCTGGACTAATGCAGGAAGAATGTGTACCTGGGCCATCATCGATTTCTTCCGACCAACCATCAATGTCGAAAGAAAGGCAAGCATTTCAAAGGCGAGGCAGATCACCGGAAGAAGTCCGCCATGTGTACCAGTGATCACGTACTTGCTATGGTCAATGATTTACACGTAATCTTTGGAAAGGGTCCCGGTGGGCTAGCTGTTCCGAGTGACGCTGGGGGACACGCACCCATGTGGAAGAAGAAATCTATTTTTTGGAACCTACCCTACTGGAAAGACCTAGAGGTCCGCTCTTCGATCGACATGATGCACGTGAAGAAGAACCTTTGCGTGAACCTGCTAGGCTTCTTGGGCGTGTATGGGAAAACAAAAGATACAAGTGAGGCACGGGAGGACCTGCAACGTTTGCACGACAAAGACGGCATGCCTCTAATGCAGTATGAAGGTCCTGCCAGCTACGCTCTTACCAAAGAAGAGAAGTTACTACACAGGATAACTTTTTCGACCATCCCACTATCCCTGCGACTCCAAGCTCCTGCCCGCGACGAGTAGATGTTCACTCCCTTGATGTAAGCTCCTAGAAAGTTGTACTCGAAACAAAGAACGTGGAAATGAGACGAGACCACTGGATCGAAAGCCAGGCCTGTGGTATGGTTACGACGGTTGGCTGGCTCCTGTGGTTGAGGTGGATGGGGCAGCTCCACCCACCTCCCGGTGGCGGGATTGCACACCACAAAATGGCAAGCGTCCTCTGTCCGAGGGGTCGCCTTGTTCGTCTTGTAGCGGCGGTAGAGAAGGAGGCCATTGCAGGCGTCCACCTGGGTGATGCTCTCGTCCTTGTTAGGGTGCAGGTAAGGGATGGCAGGGTCGAACGGGGCCACGACACCATAGACGCTGGCGAAGTGGTGGTGGATCCGATGATTGTTGCTGACGGCCATGTAGAGGAAGCCGGCAAGGGCCTGGGGCAGCTTCCTGCGGTTGGTGGGGTCGGTGATGAGGTGGCGCCAGCGCACGGCGACACACTTGAATTGGTGGAGGGATCTGGCGGGGAGGCGGGAGAGGATCTCCAGGATGAGGTCGTCGGTGAGCAGGCTGGCCGCCATCGCCCCGGGATGGTCGTCTAGCCTCGGCTTGGTGTTCCTCTCGAAGGTCCCCTCCTTCTCCTCCTCCTCCATGGGAGGGCGTAGGCAGGCGGACACCGGGATCACGACGACTGCAGATGGAGAGAGGAAATTGTCGATCTGGCTGGGAAAAATCGACCCGGGTGGTGGTCGGTGATGGGTACCTGGGTTTAGGGCGACGTCGGCCACGGTCGATGGGGACGCCGGCGGCGGCGCTTGGCTTCTCCGAGGATGAGACCTCAAAATTTCAGTCTAGATTAGGCCGAGACCACGGGACGTCACGCAGTTTTCGTCCGAGCACTACTCAAATACTAGTAGAACTTTGTTTTTTTTTTCTTTTTAAAAAGTGTGTTTCGTTTTCCAAGACATTAAACAGATTTATT